ACACACACACAGAAATTCCTTTACAAAAAAAGTAGAAAGGAATAGCAACAAAAAAACAAAGCCGGGAGTGTTTTCAGCATTTTCTCATCTACCATCGAGTTATATTACACTCCACTGTTTGAGATTATTACATCAGCTGTAGGAGGGCTTGGGGGGAGGGGGGCGATGTTGGGGAGGGGTGTGGGGAGCACAGGACAGTTGAGGTAGTTATCCCTCCACTCCACCACCACACATACACCCTCCACCCCATCCCCATCCCCCTCCCCCTCCTCCATCTGCAGTGCTCAGTTGGAATTGAGAGCGTGACAGAAAATGGGCATGCTAAGTTACACCTCCTCTGTGTGTGTGTCTTTCTCTCTCTGTCTCGCATTCTCTGACACCATTTTTTTTGTGCAGAGAGGAAACAATGCAGACGCACACACACATGCAATGAGACACCAGCCCAGGAGTCAGGAGACTCCAGCAAGCCTCACAAATAATCAGCACATCATTAGGGCCACCTACATGTGGCTGGAAAGTGTTCCCATTATGGCCAGTTGACTGCTTATGGTTCCTCCCTGCCCACCTGTCTATCTGTCTGCCTGTGTTTTGTTTTTGTTTCTTTTTTTTGTTTTTCCTGACGTTACTTGGTCTGCATACGTGTTGGTTTTCCCATCTCCTTCATTTCCTGTCTTTTTGTTTCTTCCTGTCTGTCTGAACTTGCTGGTATGTCTCTCTCTCTCTCAGATCTCTTTATCGGTGGCTTGAGGAGAGAATTTGCTTTACTCAATGCCCACTGTTACAAAGTGATTCCACATATGTGACTTCCTTCAGTATTTGGACTCGTGATATTTGAAGTGATTCAAACTGCTGACCCAGAAGTTCATTTTTGTCCTCTGTGGGGGACATGACTCTGAGACTTGTAGATCAAGCACCTTTTATGCAGTTTGGCTGATTTCTTCTGTCCTGTCAAGAGGACAGCCTGAGCTTTCTGGTAATGCCACACTTGTGGTGGTGTACCTAACACAGCATATTAGCTTTCTTTTCAAAATGGCAGACATTGCAGTTTCCACATTTTTTAACAGATGCTACGTTTCTGATGCTAAACCCAAATTATTTCTTCCACATCAGAGTCTTAAAATAATTGTAAGTTTCCAAAATCTTACTAAAACAAATTTAACCCTCTCAAAGCGAGACTTTTATTTAGTGTCCCGTGGACAACACGATTCACTACCTCTCATTCTCAACCTGTGCCCATGATTCAGGAAAGGAAGGGTTGAACGAGGCACAAATTACTTTATTCAGAATTGTGGAAGGGTAGTCAGACTTTGAGCTTTCAGAGATGAGGTGGAGGAGGACCAGACATCAGAGCAGGTAGGTGGCAGCTTGGAGGAGGTGCCCACTGTATAAGCTGTGCCTCTGAAGTTGTGGCATTGGGTTTCCCTGACACAAACTGCTATGAAATCTCATACCTTCAGAGTTGCAGCTTATACCTTACTCCTAATCCATAATGGACTTCAGAGATCATCATTTTGCTCCTTCCTACAAGCTCTTCAAGTGTTGGTATGTCCTATTCTGAGGTTTGATACCAGAAATCCAGATGAAAACATTACATTACATCCTATCATTCAGTGATCAAGCAAGAACCCATGTCCACTGCAAAAACAGAGGATAAAAAGTGGAAAAAAAGAACAATTTTGAAAAAAAAAATGCTGTAGCATGTTTCTTTCAACCATATTAATAAAGAAAAGTCAAAATATGAAACTTTTTTTTCTTCTGGATCTCAGGAGGATAATTCTCCTGTATTTCTTCCTCTCCCCAGCTACACTAACCCCTCTAGCAGCAACCACAACCTCAAATATGATCAGGCAATATTTACTGAAGGAGAACAACACAGGCAGCTTGGGGAAGTCTTTGGTGAGGATGGGTGTCCTAGTACTGACAAGAGGAGGTGAGACACCAAGAAGGGGAAAGGGAAATGACAGCTCAAGAAATTCAGATAAATTATCTCCAGTTTTTTGAGAAAAAAGTGCACTTTTTGCTCCAACATATCATTGCTGCAGTGCAGAATCAGATATTTGAGACAGATCATGTCCATCAGTGAAGTTCCTCACTAAAGCAGCACACCCTTTTACGTAAGTTTGCTAAAATTTTGAGTCTTTCCTGTGCTGTGGAGTAAGCAGAGCTTTGCGTTTCTATCCGTCCTCGCCTTCATCCCAGATTCTCCTTCACTCTTAGGGCACGTCTGTTGTGTTTAATGAATGTTTTGTTTGCCATCTTTCGAATGGGCGCAGAGTCCTGCTGTGGGGCCGATCAAACCATGCGAGCGATGTGTTCAATCCAAACTAAGTAACTGATTGTCAGCTCGGGTCCCTGGCGTGCAAAAAGCAAACAGGCTGAGGGCGGACGGTCAGGCGGCCAAGGCAAGGACACATCACTCATTCACACTAATTAATTGGATATATGTGTGTGTGTGGAGGGGGTGTGCATGTGGGTGGTGTGGGGGTGTTAATGTGTAGGAGGGTGTTGGAGAGAAAATTCCTACTGATTTGTTTTGGTGCACATGAAGTGCGCCTCCTGAAAGCGTAAAAAAAAAGAAAAGAAAAAGATCACCTCCTGCGTGCATGTATCATATGTAGCGAATGCCTCCTCTTATTTACAGCAGGTGGGTGGACTAGTACAAACATAGCTTAGTTACGCTCGAGCGTCTCGTTTCCACTAAAGAAAACAAAGAGATAAACAATTCTGACTTTACTTTAGCTTGACTCAGTCCTTGTAGGGCAGACATTTAGACTCTGATATAATCCCCCAAACAGGATAAATCATATTTGTATCAGGAAAAAAAAAGCCCTCATCTTGAAGTCAAAACTAATTGGATTATGAATATGAATGTATCCCAAGGAATAATTGCATGGGGGTTTCAGCATTATGATGTGATGCAGATACTGTCGGGTTGCATTAGTGTGATGCGGGAACGGATGAGCTCATACGTCACTTGCATACACAGTCGCCGGGGCTGCAGTGCAAGTCGGGCTCAGCATTGCATGCAAGAAAGGTGAGGACGTGCTTGTGTTTATTTACTATGACTAGGGTCAACCGTGGGGATAGGCCACATTAAAACCTAATGGGCTAATCCCAGTTGTTTTGCCATAAACAGCCATGAACCACCATGGCTCCCTTGGCTCCTGTTCATTTGCTCTGGTCCATCCCATGGGTGCTTGATTTTAAATTGTTACGTCTCTTGCACCATTCCACAGCTGTTTAGGGATTGTTGCTGTGCACTGATCTGTTTGGAGAGGCCACTGTCATCAGGGAGCACCAGTGCAATGTTCCATTCAAAACACTTTTTTATTAATTTGTATCATACTTTTAAAATTGCAGAATTGCAGAGTTAAAGATACCTAGAGTTTCACTGGTAGTGACGAGGAGGGATTGGATTTGTACTTTTAGCTGTGCCTTTAGGTGAATATTCCCTTTGTCTGCTCCTGGTGCTGGGTGTTTTGGTTCTGCTGACTCTACTACGGTGGCCCTGAAGAATCAAACACACTGCAACTTAAGAAAACACGAGAAAAAAGAAAAATGCTGCAAAACAAAAACTAAAAAAAAATTAAGTGTTTTTGAGGAGACAGGAATGTGATAGAAGTGACAAGAGAACGATAAACAATTAATAGCAAACTTGTATCTACAGTATTATATGACTCATGCAATTAAAACACACATTACCTGGCATATTTTTCTCCCGATGAACAACAATGAATCCTGCACTTTTTACGAATGTCCCAGTCCCATGTTTTGTTTTTTGGGAACAGCTTTTCCCAAAAACAATTGCTCCCAATTTCTTTTTATCTACTTCCTTTATGTTTTATACAAGTTTCTTTGTATTTATTTCTATTTCCACTTTGCTTTATTCAATTCCCTTTATGTTTGAGTTTTGTGCGCTTCTTTTTTCTGTTTCCTGGTGTTTTCTTAAGGTGCTATGAATTGGAACTGTCAGGACCACCATACTTTACAGACAACACACACTATGTGAGATTAGAACTTCAGAATTGGATGACCTGTTCCCCTGCCATATTTGATACCATTTACCTGCAAATCATTATTCCTGCTTAAGGGCAAGCTTTGTCTCATCCTCGAAAGTCAAACTTCCACCATATCATGCTTTGAAACAGTCCTGAAACCTGTCAGTATGCTGGCCTATTCTCAAAAGGCACCAAGGCAGACATCACTGGAACCGCAGTGATGAAATGGAGGTAAATGTCATTTAACAGCTGTTAGTAAATATGAGTAAAATGTGCAAAGAACTCTGCCAAGTGGCCTTTAGTGGCTCCAGAGGGATTTGCATGAAGTCTGATATACGGCTGTAAGTGAGGTCACCCTCTCCCGACATCCTTGCATGCTTGAGGTTAGCATCTTGGGCATCACATTAGCAGCTGCTAGCAAAACACATCCAAACTTGAGTGTGTGCATGTGTGTCAAGAGGAATTTTATAGTTTAATAGGTCAGATTTACTTTAACTACTCTCCATTCTTTTGACAAGGTCTGGTTTTCCTGATGAGTGTTCTGAGATACCTTTCATACTATTATTGACATACAGGGATAACTGTTATAGAATTTGCCTTCTAGATAATTATAGAGCTTCATGAAATCCCATAGTTCAGAAAGCGTATTAGCTATTGCTTTTCAAATGCTTCATGTAATTGTTGTATACATGGCGCAATTCCCACAGAGAAAAACCAACAGTGAAGCCAATCAATAGCTTTCAGTCAGGCAGTGATGCTGTGCTACAAGATTGCTTGCAATTTCCCACTCCCATTCTGAAACTCATATCTGATGAGTATTTCTAACTGGCCATAATTGGCAATCACCTACGATTTGTCGTGCAACAT